GCTGATAAGCCAACTGATGCCTTGCCTTATTTAGGCAGCGCTCAGTGCTGATACACTAGCAGAGGCACACACAGTGCATGTACTCTGTATGTGTTTGTTTAGCAGGCTGTGTGCATCTCAGTGTATATGTATGTGAGGGGTTCATGAGCGCAAATAGCTGGGCTCTGAATAAGTGAAGGTATATAGATAGAGGTGCATGTATACCTAAAACACTCCACTACTTTCTTATTTAAAGGGAAGTATTGGAAAGGAGATTAACGTGCTGTTTTACAGAATTTCTTTGGTCACTGAGAATTTTGACCCAACATTTTCACGCAACTTAAATTCTTGGGGTGTTGCATCAACATCATATGAAAAAAACAAACAAACAAACAAACAATCAAGATATTTCTTCTTGCTAATTGCTATCTATTTGATGATAGTTGATGTTATTTGGACAAATTAACTACTAAAGAAGCACCAAAACCCTTTTTAATTAAAAAAAAAAAATTACATAGAAGGTTTTGGGCAGTTGGTGGAAAAATAAAATGTGATAAATAAGAATGTTCTTCAAGTGCTACAAGAAAAAAATATCTACGCATTGTGCATAGGAAGTTCAAATGTGGCACTAACAGAATTGCTAGCTAGCCCAAGATGCATACTGGTCCAACATGAGCAATTTTACATGGTTTACCTATTCATCAAGCTCCTTAACAGTACGGCACGTGTGTTAAAAATAAAAATAAAAGACATTTTAGAAATAATTTCTTTCATTTAAAAAACTATTCACATAGATTTACAATGCGCCATTTTATTAATAGTTTGATAACATTTTATTACAATTCTTTTCCAAACCACAAAACTAATTCAAATCTTTGATTAGTGAATGATATGATTGTGAAATCAGACAGCAAAAAAAAAAAAAAAAACATATTGTCTTCTTGTGTGATTAGTCAGGGGCTACAAATGACTTTAAAATCTCTCAGTTAAAAAAAAACAACCCAATTTGGGTTTATTTTGCAAAGTCCAAATAAGGATCAGTACAGGACTAGTTTGATTTCACTCAGTAGATTTGACTCTGAATGCCTAGTTAGGCTTTCACTCCAACAAAATAGGTTATAGTACCTAATGGCAATCACAGAGTGAACTGAAAAGAATAACGCTTGACCTGGATTATAAAAAAGTCATATTTCCAGGTTACTCCCTGAACAGGTTACTACCTCATCACGTTGACTTCAGGGTCAGTCAGTTTGGTTTTTCACATTTTACTGTCAGAAACCTGGATGGAAGTGGTGTGGGTCTGCTAAATCTCCACACCAAAAACAAAACAAACAGGAAACAACAACGATTCTGCAAATCTTTGCACGAAGAGACAAAAGTGGCATCAAATGGCTCACAACTATGTCCAGCTGGATTTCATGTCATGTTCTAACTTACAGTCAGACATTTGATGGTCTAGCGTTACATAGATGCATTGTCTTTCTGCTCAATGCAACCTTTAGGTACATCCCAATTCCGGCTGTACTATAATAGGAAAACATGCAACAGTAACGTTTCTCCATAAAAATGAAATGACAATATGTCTAACTCACATATGCCTGGCTTTTTCATTTATTTTCTTTAAAATCTGAACTCTTTGAGAGCTTTAGCAACTTAGCCGCTTAAAATGTGAATCCATCACAGCCACCAACGGGGAACATTCATCCAACAAGCCAAGTAAATTGTTGGCACGCTTCATTTGTACGAATGACAAAATATTCAATTAAATTCTTTAAATCTGCATTCAAGAAGCCCCTTACAATTGTGACACATGGAATCTGAGATGACCATTTCTATTTGATGTATTCTGCAACTCTAATCTCAAGAAATCAATACAACACCTCTTGATATTAGGCAAATTACTGTTAAAGGGACTTTTTTGTTGATTTTAAATATCCTGGCTTACAGATAAAGAAAATGTGGAATCCGGTATTTTCGGCAATAAGAACGCAAGACAAAAAAAAGAGAATTTACAAAACAGAAATTTCAACCCACTGAAAAGTGTTTTATGTACTGAACTAAACACCTTGTTGGGGCTTATTTAGCATGAATCACTGCAGCGATGTGGCGTGGAGACTTTTATCCTATGGCTTGGTTGAGGTCAGGTTGCTTAAATAGCAGCCATCTGTAGCTCATCTAATTTGTTTTGTGAATTGTTTCTCCTCTCAAGACATTTGATTCTGCACATTTTCCCTCCCCCATTTTTATTTTCTACTCAACTTGCCATTACTATACAAGTTGAAAACTGCACCTCGCTTCTTTAGGAACCAGCTTCTCTTTCTTAAGGGAAACTGTTGCGTCAGTTGTGTTCTCTCTTTGTGCGTTGGTCATGAAATGACCATAAAACTTAAAAAGTGTTTTTCTAAAAAAAAAGATTATTTGAAGTTTTCATTAATTGTAAGCTACTGACAATAGCTAGATAGATTTCTTTTTGTGTAAAAAATATTATTAAAATGTTGACGTCATTCTGATTGATTGATATGCACCTTAATAGTCATTTAAACATCTGTTCTTTGCACACATTCAGAGGAGCTTTATATAGGAAGCTGAGATAACAAAGGGCTTCACAGTACCTTGCACACTCTGTGTGCACATACAGCAAAACTGCTGAGTTACCAAGATACCTAAACTGCTGAACTGTAACAAAAAAACGATTCATGGGAGAAGCTTCATGACTCTGTGAACCTTTCAGCTGCCTGGTCACTTATCTCGGTTCCCAGGCCTCATTTAACCACGCCACACAAACACACGCCCACCCGCACGTGCGCGCGTGCGTCCGCGCAGCGGACTTGGTGAAAGTGTCCATTTTACAAAGATAGGTGGGCACAATAACTGTGAATGAGAGACAGAAAACTTCACTCCACTGCATCACGCTGGCTCTCTATTGATTAGCTCATCACAAGCATGAGGTCATCAGCTCCATCCCAGAGGCGGATGGGATAGCTCCTCTCTACTGTAAAACCACAGGGGAGTGTTACTCTCCATGCCCCTTTTGCACCCCCTCCTGCTCCTCCATCATCTCAGCCCTCCTCTTCAGAAACCATCAGCTCAGCAAACACGCAGCTCCCCCGGTCGTGCTCTATTAGAACTCGTACGATTTAATTCATTTTACTCTCCGGCATGCGCTCATCTCCCTCAGCTCGCCCTGCTTCCCTCTGCGTCCTCTGGGAACGCTGCACAATCAAAGACAGAGAGTCACGTGACCAGGACCAGATCAATACGAGTGCATCTTTCACAGTGCACTGTACTGTACAACCGGACTTACGTAACGTGCTGACAATTCGCCGCTCTGTGGAGCTCAGAGCATAAATGTGCTCTTAAAAAATATCTTGAAAGGAGGCAGAAAGTTTGAAGACTTCGGCGCACGATGCAGACTGTAATTTGATCACTCAAGTTCAGCAGAGGGAACCTTGCTGTCTGATATAAACACTTTGTGCAAACTGAATCATTTTCCTGGCGATTCCCTGTGTAAACAACCAAAGAGGAGATCAGATGTCTCTTGCTTTAAAAGCATCCGCCATTTATCTCCATTCCCAGTATGATTATTTCAAGCCCAGTGGCCTTCACTGACATGCATGAAGTCTCACCCTAATGCAGGTTCTGTTGTTGACAAAATAGGAATGAAGATATTTTGCAGTAAACATGTCAAGTCAGCCTTGTGTTATTTTACATCTTTAAACTCAAATAAAAATATTCTTCTTACAATAGAAATAATATATCATAAACACCTTATAAAAAAAAAGAATAAGAATTACAGTAGATTTTTTCTTATCTGTACAGAGTTAGAATATAATGACCAAGTAAACAAGTACTTGGCCCTTGGTATCCAGGAAACCAACCAATGTAAATAAACCAAATCTGCTAAGAAGAGCCAATCATGCTAGGACCTTAGTGATTGCTTTCGTTTGCTAAGGGACGTATCCACCTTGAAAACAAAATAATAAAACAATAAAAGCCTCACATTTATATTGCATATGTGAAGATGATGACAGGACATTAAACATATCCAAAATTATTCAGCTCTTTCATGAAGCAGCCTACTGTACTTAAGCCACGTAGCACAAACCTTTGCAGACATAGACAATAAGCCAAACATATATAAGAACTTTACCTGTAAGGGAAAAACTCAATTCTGTTTTTTAAGTTTTAAAGGGAGATACAGAATGTTCACAGATAAAATGTTGAAACACTTTAAGCAGTCCAAGCCAAAATCTAAGTCTTGTTAGCTTCACACATGTTGCTACGGTCGTCGTGAGGATGAACAACAAATGATCAGTTATTGTGCTGTGATTTAACCGTGTGTTTAAAGTGCACTCACACGTCTGAGCTTCTGGATTTCATAAATTGTCGTTGACATGTTTATGCAGGCAAATTTATGTGCCCCCCTTGGGAGAGCAGGAGCAAAATCAGCCATGCCTGATTGCATCAAACCCTTTTCCCAGCTTGTACTCGCTCCCTAAGTCATCACTCATACAATTCCCTGATGCAATGAAAGCAGAGGATGTCAAAGCAATGCTGTGAGCCCCAGCGTGGTGGTGGAGGTCGGTGGTAGGGGGGACTCTGGATGAAAAGGTCACATCACATTCACCTGTTAAAGAGCAGATGCCACATCAGAGCAATACTTGGCGTGGGCACAGCTATGGGTCATACAGCTCACACACGTGAACTCTCCGACACACGAAACACGCACACAATGCAAACAAAGACGCCCGACCCCTTCCCCTGGGAATGAAAAACTTGTGCAGAGAATAGAAACAGAACCTTTTTTCCAGGGACTATTGCCCTGGCAACACAAAATCCTTGACTGCTGATGATGTATAAAGGTTTGGACAACAGGTCACTAGACAACTCAGAGCCTTCAATTTATGAAAACCCTCTTCAGGGTGTTCTCCTGTCTTTGTTGTCTATTTAAACAGTGCACACACACATGCATGTACAGGAGGATGAATGAAAACACACATACACATAAGCATCACAAGTACCTGGAAGCGGCTATTTCCACCTTACTCCTCGCAATGGCTGCAGCCCGCTGTGCCCCCTCCACAGCACGATCTACCTTCTCTTTGGTTTTGGGATTCTTAAGAGGAATCAACTGCTTTCTTATTCCACGCACCAGCACATTATTTTTGTACTTCCCTTCTTCTTTGGTGCTGTCTGGGAAAACAGTGCACCCATAGCCATGGCGCTTGTTGTTAAGCCACTCTCCTTCATATTTCATCCCGTTGGATCTCTCTGAAACACCAAATCCGTTACGCTTGTCATTCTTCCACTCCCCCATGTAGGTCTCAGTCGTGGTCGCGTCCACGTGGTCCTCCAGTGGTAGGTCCTCGTCTGGCAGCTCGCCATCACCGATTGATATGGTGGAGTTGGCGTCGCTGGAACTGATTCGGCTCATGGTGGCATCGCTCCTTGCGGAGCTACGTTTGCTGGAGATAGAGGTCCGAGAGTCAGACTTGCGCAACTGCCTAAGGCTGCCGAAAAGGGAACCCCGGCGGAACAGGCCCTTCTTCTTGCCGGTGACGACCTCGCTGTCTGAGTGGAAGTTGAGGACGAAACCACCACGAGTGCCCGTCGGCGTGTCCACAGGGGAGGAGAGGTCGTGGAGGACTGCACCGTTGCTCTGCTCAGAGCGCAGGGAGGCCATGGACGTACGAAGCGGGGAATGGATAACGGTGGCCATGCCATAGGGAACACTCTGACGGACGCCATAACCATGACGCATCCCACCCATCCATTGGCCTTGATAGGTTCCTGGGAAACATGCAGACATAAACCAGTGAGTTGCTGTGGTTCCGTAACATTTCACCATTCATTCTTCAATAAAATCCCTTTCCGCTTACAAGCTCTAAAGATATTTCACTTTTGTCATGTCTACTATGTGAAAATGGTTGGAAATAAGACTTATATGTTGGCATTTTTCAGAAATTGAATTTTTGGTGGTCAAGATTGGGAACTGTTTGAGAAAACTAATGTAATTTATTTACATTATGTGTTGGCATACTGAGGCAGGAAATTTAATAGTGGTAATTGGACAAACAAAATCTGCTCCTCTACTTCTAAGAATCTCTTTATGCTACTCGTCAGTTCAGGATAAGACTTGGAGTACGGTCTGAAGGCAAGTATGTACGGGATTCTGGCAGAAATTAATGGACTTCACAAAGGTGCAGAAATGAATACACTTACTCATACAGCAATTTAAAGGATCCATGAATTGGGGTAAAATATACATATATAGCTAATGAAATGCTTTCTCTTTTTTAGATCAGTGATGGTAAACACAGCAAACTGAATCAAAGGCTTAATTGAAGACCATCTGATTCTGTGAATCACTTGGTATAAACAAGAATCACTTGGGTAGGATTATGTTTTCAGGCAGCGACTAACTCTCCTCACTGACGATACGCAAATTCACTTCTGTTTGCCTGTGACGACAGGGAATTGCTATGAGTCACATAATAAGAGGAATACTTTATTAATCCTATTCAGTGCTGCTGAGCATGTGCAGGTCTTCTGTAGCTTCTTCAAAGCATCACATTACAATCCCGATCCTAATTAATATGTTCCTCCAATCTCATTTTGAAACACAATGAAATAAGCTGCTATGGTCACATATTAACAAAAAAAAAAAGGAGGGGGGAAGAAAAGCTACACTGGCCTGAGCGGGAATTTAGATGGATAAACAGTGTGATTAACAGGCTGGCTCCGCACTGCAGTCCAATTTGGTAACCCTGCAGATCAAGTTATCAGGATGTAACAGGGTCAGACAGCCAGATGTTGAGTAGATCCTCTAGGATCAGCTGATTTACCGAGCCCAGCAAACTGCAACAATCATATGTAAGGCATTTATTCTGCACCATGAGGCCTCACTTAAGAGTAGATAACAAATCCTCCAGTCTCTTGGATGTCTCACAGTGAGAACAGAATGATAAGTAACAACAATAAGTAACAAGATGGTATTACTCATAATCATGGTATTACTCATTCTAATGATTAGTTTCATTTACATAAAAAAGCAACATATATTCCTATGGTACTTTGGCATCTTACTGAGAAAACTGTAACATATTTTTTACTCTTTATAACCTCGGTGTATGTTGAAAGCAGCCACTTGTCCATACCTAGGATGCTAGTTTTAGCTTGCCTTCATGTGTGCAGTGCAACTCGGTTGCTTTACGTAGAGAGGTGAAGCTTAAAACCCACTCAACAGAGTTCAAAACATGGTGTGTTTAATTTTACAAATAACTAAATATGCACGGGTTTCATTTTTTATGGGCTTTAAACCATCCTTCTCCAATGCACTTGTTTCATGTAATAAATGAATAAATATATTTTATGGCATTTTTTTTTTT